CGAGATCACAGCGAGAAGAATGAAAGGGATCACAGCGAGAAGAAGGAAAAGGGATCACAGCGAGAAGAAGGAAAGGGATCACAGCGAGGAAGAAGGAAAGGGATCACAGCGAGAAGAAGGAAAGGGATCACAGCGGAAGAAGGAAAGGGATTCACAGCGAGAAGAAGGAAAGGGATCACAGCGAGAAGAAGAAAGGGATCACAGCGAGAAGAAGGAAAGGGATCACAGCGAGAAGAAGGAAAGGGATCACAGCGAGAAGAAGGAAAGGGATCACAGCGAGAAGAAGGAAAAGGGATCACAGCAAGAAGGAAAGGGATCACAGCGAGAAGAAGGAAAGGGATCACAGCGAGAAGAAGGAAAGGGATCACAGCGAGAAGAAGGAAAGGGATCACAGCAAGAAGGAAAGGGATCACAGCAAGAAGAAGGAAAGGGATCACAGCGAGAAGAAGGAAAGGGATCACAGCGAGAAGAAGGAGAAGGGATCACAGCGAGAAGAAGGAAGGGATCACAGCGAGAAGAAGGAAAGGGATCACAGTGAGAAGAAGGAAAGGGATCACAGCAAGAAGGAAAGGGATCACAGCAAGAAGAAGGAAAGGGATCACAGCGAGAAGAAGGAAAGGGATCACAGCGAGAAGAAGGAAAGGGATCACAGCAAGAAGGAAAGGGATCACAGCAAGAAGGAAAGGGATCACAGCGAGAAGAAGGAAAGGGATCACAGCGAGAAGAAGGAAAGGGATCACAGCAAGAAGGAAAGGGATCACAGCAAGAAGGAAAGGGATCACAGCGAGAAGAAGGAAAGGGATCACAGCGAGAAGAAGGAAAGGGATCACAGCAAGAAGGAAAGGGATCACAGCAAGAAGGAAAGGGATCACAGCAAGAAGGAAAGGGATCACAGCGAGAAGAAGGAAAGGGATCACAGCGAGAAGGAAAGTGATGTTTCAAAGTAGGCTGCGTATATCAAGACGAAATGCAGAAGAAGCTGACGAGAGTTTTGGAAGTCCTACAACGCTGCAGAGACTACAACAGGAACAGACTACAACGCTACTCGGTAAGCTATTTGAAATCAAAGCACCAGTAAGTTCTGCTCCATAATAAGAACCTTTGAGGAAATATCAGATCATGAAAAGAAAATCTTTAAACATAAATACCAAAGTGTAAAACACAGCAAAACTATATTCATAATAAATGCAAGTGTGAAATAGTGTGGACAATCGTAAACATGGATGGAGGCTAAAGTATCCACAACATAAAACAATATTAAAATATAACCTCAATCTTTCTTCTTGTTAAAAGCTTGAATGGGTTATAGGTTTCTTTTGTTCTCTCATCTTTGAAATATATAAGGAATGTGTTGTTTGAATCTAGTAGAACGAGGGTATTACAATTGAGCAATTTCTACTTTATGTATTATGTATTTATCATGTATTCTTAATACTATTACAAAATAAACATGTAATAATGTTTTAAACAAATATTATCTGAATTGAAACTAGCCATGTGTTTAGGCTCACAATACGACCAACGTGTTTCAAATATTTAATTAATTGTAGCTACCACTTTTACGTATTAAAATATGTATGCTTTTGTTTGTGTATTTCAGAAGTTACGTCGCCGCGGACCATGCGTTTGGATGCTCGACCGAGCTACCGAGTGGTGGGTGTGATTGTTCCATCTTTCACACACACTCAGTGGAGAACTTCAGGATGTCTGAGGAAACCTACGCCTACCTGTGCAACAAACTGCGGCCAGCGATGGAGAGACAGGACACAACATTCCGCGTGTGTATACTGTTATGGAAATCTAAAAACCCCAATACTGTAGAGTACAAGTCAGAAAACAAATAAATGGTGAATCCAACAGAGTTGTCTTTCTGGTGATGTTTATTCGAGGCCTCAAACAAACATCAGATACAATAAAATATAGACACAGGTCTCACAGAGTATAGGATAGTCTGCGCGAGTGTGCGCAGTTCAATATGATCGCAAAGCAATGTAAAGGGAGAGTAAAAAGGTGGGAAGGTAAGAAATCTTCACACGGTCACATTGTTATTAGACACCTGGCCTTGAGCTGTAGAAGTTCTCGTGTGACTTTGTGCGAGTCAACTCAGTAGCCAAAACAGCTCTGTGGCCTTGAAGTAGAGAAGATAGAGGAAAACAGCACAGTAACCAAATGAGAAGCATTTGGTTACTTTGAACATATCAGGATATAATAAAATTTCCACTACAATACCTCTGAAGAGGGTGGCCATCGCACTGTGGAAGCTTGCTACCGGCTCAGAGTACAGAAGCATTGGACATCTTTTCGGAGTGAGCAGGACCACTGTGTGCCGGTGTGTGCGAGACTTCTGTGCTGCTGCAGAGGCGTTGTTGGTACCGGAACTAATTCGTTCACCAGACCGGGAGCAGTTTGCAGAAATGGCTGCCTACACTGAGAACCGGTGGGGGCTCCCACAGTGTGTAGGTGCTATTGATGGATCACACATACCCATCTTGGCACCACAGGAATACCACTGTGACTATTTCAACCGGAAAGGCTGGCACTCCATCATCCTTCAAGGAGTTGTAGATGGAAAGGGACATTTCTGGAATGTGTTTGCAGGAATGTCTGGGAGCATGCATGACGCTCGGGTTTTGAGGCTGTCCACATTGTGGGAGTTGGCCAGTCGTGGCAACTACTTTCCACCTTGCACCAGGGACATTGGTGGGGGGAATGCTGGCTATTACATCCTGGGAGACAATGCCTATCCCTTGCAAAGCTGGCTCTTAAAACCCTTCCCAGACACTGGACGGCTGACAGCAGAACATGTGGTATCCAACAAGAAAAGTTGCAGCGCACGGGTAGTGGTTGAAAACACATTGGGTCGACTGAAGGGAAGGTGGCGTTGCCTCATGAAAAGAAATGACTGTGATGTGAAACTTGTGAAATCCATGGTGCTGACATGCTGTGCTCTACATAACCTCTGCGAGTCATGGAGAGGCCTATGATGATGGGTGGGATGCACCAGCAGCAGCAGAGCCTGGGGTAGCAGTGGCTCAAGGTGCAGAGGAGGAGGGCACTGACATCAGAGAGGGTTTGATGCGCTACCTGAATATGTCAATATGCATTATATTAAACATAAATACATCTTTTTTTTTTCATATACATGCGTTTGTCAAATGTTTTAAACAAATATTATCTGAATTGAATATTTAGTAAATATTTGAAATTCAAGCACCAGTAAGTAAGTACTGCCCCATAATAAGAACCTTTGAGGAAATATGAGATCATGAAAAGAAAATCTTTCTAATAAATTAAGCGAATATCAAAGCTAACTATAAACAAAGTGTACAACACAGCAAAACTATATCTCTCTAAATCAAGATGATGTGAATCTGATTTTTTTCTGTTAGGTGCAATCCATTATCAACAAGAGATAAGATAAGTCAAATAAGTACTTTATTGATGGCAGTATACTAAAAAAAAAAAAAGGCATGCCATTAAACAATACAAATAAAAAAATGATGGCACACATGGCAGTGTAAAAATAAAATGAACATTTTAAAGAACATAAATAAACAAGAAAGTACACTTTTAAAAAATAACTAGAAAAACAAAATATAATAGGTACAATAACTATTAAGGAGGAGACGGGCCACGTCGGCTGCCCAGTCCCCCTAGCACCTTGCCAAGAGTGCGCAGGAAGGCGAGGTTGAAGGTCTCTGTTTGAGCGGCCTCCTCCCTTCTCAAGGCGGCCTCCTCCTTTGCCTCCTCCCTTCTCAAGGTGGCATCTTCCCTTCTCAAGGCGGCATCCAACTCCCATCTCCGCTCAGCAGACGCTTTGGCCCAGTCCAAGTGCCGTTCCTGCTGGGCCATGTACTGTTCATGCTGGGCCATGTACTGTTCATGGTGCCGTTCCTGCTGGGCCATGTGCTGTTCATGCTGGGCCATGTGCTGTTCATGGTGCCGTTCCTGCTGGGCCATGTACTGTTCCTGCTGGGCCATGTACTGTTCCTGCTGGGCCATGTACTGTTCATGGTGCCGTTCCTGCTGGGCCATGTACTGTTCCTGCTGGGCCATGTGCTGTTCATGGTGCCGTTCCTGCTGGGCCATGTGCCGTTCATGCTGGGCCATGTGCCGTTCATGCTGGGCCATGTGCCGTTCATGCTGGGCCATGTGCCGTTCATGCTGGGCCATGTGCCGTTCCTGCTGGGCCATGTACCGTTCCTGCTGGGCCATGTGCCGTTCATGCTGGGCCATGTGCCGTTCATGCTGGGCCATGTGCCGTTCCTGCTGGGCCATGTGCCGTTCCTGCTGGGCCATGTGCCGTTCCTGCTGGGCCATGTGCCGTTCATGCTGGGCCATGTGCCGTTCATGCTGGGCCATGTGCCGTTCATGCTGGGCCATGTGCCGTTCCTGCTGGGCCATGTGCCGTTCATGCTGGGCCATGTGCCGTTCATGCTGGGCCATGTGCCGTTCATGCTGGGCCATGTGCCGTTCCTGCTGGGCCATGTACCGTTCATGCTGGGCCATGTGCCGTTCATGCTGGGCCATGTGCCGTTCCTGCTGGGCCATGTACCGTTCATGCTGGGCCATGTGCCGTTCCTGCTGGGCCATGTACCGTTCCTGCTGGGCCATGTACCGTTCCTGCTGGGCCATGTGCTGTTCCTGCTGGGCCATGTGCTGTTCATGCTGGGCCATGTGCTGTTCATGCTGGGCCATGTGCTGTTCATGCTGGGCCATGTACTGTTCCTGCTGGGCCATGTACTGTTCCTGCTGGGCCATGTGCTGTTCCTGCTGGGCCATGTGCTGTTCATGCTGGGCCATGTGCTGGGCCATGTGCTGTTCATGCTGGACCATGTGCCGTTCCTGCTGGGCCATGTGCCGTTCATGCTGGGCCATGTGCCGTTCATGCTGGGCCATGTGCCGTTCATGCTGGGCCATGTGCCGTTCATGCTGGGCCATGTGCCGTTCATGCTGGGCCATGTGCCGTTCATGCTGGGCCATGTGCCGTTCATGCTGGGCCATGTACTGTTCCTGCTGGGCCATGTGCTGTTCATGCTGGGCCATGTGCTGTTCCTGCTGGGCCATGTGCTGTTCATGCTGGGCCATGTACTGTTCCTGCTGGGCCATGTGCTGTTCATGCTGGGCCATGTGCTGTTCATGCTGGGCCATGTACTGTTCCTGCTGGCCATGTACCGTTCCTGCTGGGCCATGTGCTGTTCATGCTGGGCCATGTGCTGTTCATGCTGGGCCATGTGCCGTTCATGCTGGGCCATGTGCTGTTCATGCTGGGCCATGTACTGTTCCTGCTGGGCCATGTGCTGTTCATGCTGGGCCATGTGCTGTTCATGCTGGGCCATGTACTGTTCCTGCTGGGCCATGTACCGTTCCTGCTGGGCCATGTACTGTTCCTGCTGGGCCATGTGCTGTTCATGCTGGGCCATGTGCTGTTCCTGCTGGGCCATGTGCTGTTCATGCTGGGCCATGTGCTGTTCCTGCTGGGCCATGTGCTGTTCATGCTGGGCCATGTACTGTTCCTGCTGGGCCATGTGCTGTTCATGCTGGGCCATGTACTGTTCCTGCTGGGCCATGTGCTGTTCATGCTGGGCCATGTGCTGTTCCTGCTGGGCCATGTGCTGTTCATGCTGGGCCATGTACTGTTCCTGCTGGGCCATGTGCTGTTCATGCTGGGCCATGTGCTGTTCATGCTGGGCCATGTACTGTTCCTGCTGGGCCATGTACCGTTCCTGCTGGGCCATGTGCTGTTCATGCTGGGCCATGTGCTGTTCATGCTGGGCCATGTGCCGTTCATGCTGGGCCATGTGCTGTTCCTGCTGGGCCATGTACCGTTCCTGCTGGGCCATGTGCTGTTCCTGCTGGGCCATGTGCTGTTCATGCTGGGCCATGTGCTGTTCATGCTGGGCCATGTACTGTTCCTGCTGGGCCCGATCCTCTCCTCCTCGTTTCCTCTTGCCTGGGTGACAATAAGATAATAATTAGCAATAAGGAAAAAACACAGGACGGGTACAGGTCACACAAGGATATAAGAATAACATGTAGAAACAGAACAACAGTAAGGTGAACTAAAGAAAGTGCTGGCCCTAGATGTTTATAATGATTGTGAATTACATTATGTCCAGCCTGTTGGTAATGAATATAAATATATGAGAATATGAACATGAGCAAGGTGTATTAAAATGGTAAGGCTGCTCTACAGTTTCATCCTTTACAGGCTGATGCTCTTGTAGAAAGAAACTTGACTAGTGACAAAGCTGACATCTGTGTTGAAAGTTAAAATATATGTTTTAAACCAATTGGAATAGAAATGTTGTATTAAATGCATAAAAACACTTGGGGTGTGTCTTTTAATTCATATTTTATGAATCTGTTATGAAGATGCTGTAATTAAAAGTAGCTTTTTTCTCTGCTATGAAATTCGGGACAGCTCTGGCCCTCTGGCACTAAATCCTCAACATTGTTAGTGAGAAAAATGTGTTATCAGGAAGTGAAGCTCCAGGCTGTTGTTCACAGACTGTTAGCTCACAAAGACACCATCATTTTCATATCCTGATTGTCTTTGTGTTATATTCCAAATGTGCAGATAGTGAAGTGTTAGCAGATGCACCTTCCTAACCTGATATGCAATAAATACCATGCCTGAATGCCGGATGTAATTAATATGATGGCATTGTGTTTTAAGCAGAGAACTGCAACATATTTTTAAATGTATTCCATTGATTTTAATTTGTGTTCTGCTTTTTTATTTCATATTGTTTGGCATGTCATGCTGATGCTTTTTTATTGCATATGTAAAGCACTTTATCTGTTGATAATGAATATAAAGATATGTATATGATTGGATGTCACACACAACTGTACTAGCTGCTTACTAGCTAAGACTTTACTTGTAACAGCATTTCCACACAGTGGTATAGCTTATTTTAATTACTGACGATGGATGATCCAAGCTTTAAAAACACAATTCCAGTCGTTTTGCCATTTCTATTTCTTACCTAGAACCACACGCTGCGGTGTCGTGATGGCACTCGTGTTGGTGGCGGAGTCGGGTTCGGGTCTTCGGCTGGGGTCTGTTCTGGATTCAATGACGATGTGGACGGAACACTGCCATCACCCGTTGTTCGGGAATGTTCCTCCTCACGAGTCCCAATGTAATCATCGAGAACAGCAACATGACTTGTTAATTCCACAAACTACTGCAGCACAATACTAAACAGCAACAGCAACTATAGAAAAGAAAAACTGAACGTAAACAATGGCACATATGGTGTTAGCAAACAATAGCTCTAGCTAAGGCTATCTGCCTAGGCTATCTGCCTTAGCTAGCTATGTAGCTCTTCGGGGCTCCATAACAGCATGGGTTGTCTAACATTAATGTAAGGATAAAATAGACTTCTTTGTTAGAAGTGAGCGTACCTTGCAGGGACTCCAGTAAAGCCGTTGCAGAGTCCAGGCCTCCCTCCCTCCCAACGTTGGCCGGTCTATGGCCGTAAATCTGGTCCAACAAATCGAACCACTTCCAGTGTTTCCTACCCGCACCACTCGTGTTGTTGTTGTCCTTTACTTGGCGATATTCACTCTTCATCTTTTTCCCTACACTGCAGGAAAGTCCTCGACAATCCGCGTTCGGACATCTGTGCAGAGACATCCTGGAACACTTTCACATTTCTCGTTGTTCCGTCGAGCTCCCGCTGGATTTTATCATCCCCAATGAGATGAAGGAACGTCGTCACCTCCTCGGTCGACCACGATGTGCTTTTCTTAGAAGTAGCCATTTGTGTAGCTCCTCCGTTTACAAAATGCTGTTTATAAAAATGCTGCAAGCTTGCTTCTAGATATATATGCGACGCTAGGGATGAACTCGCGCGCGATCTTGTGACGATTCTCTCTGACCAATCAGCAGTCGAGAGTGTTGACGTCACTAGTTCAGCCCTGGCCCTGATCTGAGGGAACCACGATTTTATGAGGCCGGAAAAAGTACCCGCTGGCCGGTACTAGGCTATATGGAAACGCCACCAAAAACCGGCCTGGCCGCTTGAGGACGGTTAAGGACGCTTAAACGGGGCTACCCGCTGCAGTGGAAACGCGCCATAAGTGTATTCTATAACCCCGAAGGCAGGAGAGACTGAAAAGAGTCAAGGGAAGCTTATAAAAGTTAACAGCATTTAATTACACAAAAGATGCGGTGGTGTACAAAATGAAATGTGCGAGTGGAGGCGCTCTCCTCATCCGACCGGTTAGTCCAGGTCAGAGCCGTATAATAGAAGAGTTATGACATCTCCGTTCACTCCAATGGACCACTTTTTTACAGCAATGGCGGATCGTGGAGCCTCTCAATCGTTCCCCGGAAGTTAGCGCCAAGGCTAGCAGAGCTGTGGAGTTGCAGCATAATAGACCGTTCGTGACGGACTTTTAAAGGTAAGAAGAAGTTTAAAGATTTATATTGCGGATATTATCAGTACATCTGATTCAATTGAACATGTGTATTAAAGGATGTCAGTGGATTATCCCTAAATCAGTAGATTTAGGGAACGTTTACAGATAACAGATCAAGCTAGGATACCGAAGCAAGTTAGCAACACACGTTGAACAGCCTTTTAATTGTAAATTCCGTTCTCTTAATGTCTATTTGGTCCAACGTTGTTGAATTAGAGAAGAGGGGCTTCTAAACGGGATTGTATGCGGGGGTGGAGGGAGTTAAATATTAGATAACTATAACTTTGGTGCGTGTAAGAGTGAGTGTTTTTAGCAGAGCCATATTGTGTCCTTGTGATTATGTTGATTATTACCTGCCTGTATAATGTTGCAGCTCAGCTGATTTTGGATTGATGGCAAAGGGAGAGGGACTTAAGTGAGAGTGAACACACAAGGTAAGTTTAATACTACTGTTTTATATAAGTAAGCATACTAAACATGTATTCTATCACTGTATTATATAAGTAATCTTGTTAGTAACCTACTGTATGGCAGGTGGAGGGGCAGTGATGTTACAGGTGGAGGAGCAAGACTGCAAACTCACAAGACAGAGAAATCAAAGTTTGTTCTCCAGAGAAGAGGTTGATTTCACTTCAATTTTTTATTTCATATTTTCTAAAGATGTGGAAATGGCAACAAAAAAACACGTGAGAGCTGTAACCAAGACAACTGTAACAACATGAGTAGAGAGCCACCAAGGTTTTTCAAGTCCCTCTCTTACTCCATTTGGCCAACCCAAACTTCCAGGTACATGACGGGACACCTTGCTTGTTTTTGTTGTTTGCGCTCCTCTGGCAGGTGGAGGGCAGTGATCCCTTCCCTTCTTCCCTCAATCTTTGAGACTAATGTAAGTCGAAGACATGGCACTGTAAATGTTCGAACATTTAAAATATTATACCACTTAAAAATAAGAAATATTACTTTTGTTACTAAGAGTTCATACTTATTATACCTGTGTCACCTTTCACACTATCGCTGTGATCATGAGCTATGGGCTTTGTAGATACAGGTCCCGGGGTGAATCGTGGTGCAGGGGCCCTTCTCTTTTTGACCACAGGGCGATGCACGAAGATGGTGGTATAGCCTCTGCTCTCAGCCTAGTCTTGCCCTTTTTTGTCTTGACAAACTGGTCTGCATCAAAATGTGCCTGCGGAGTGACTTGAGGTTACTTCACACACAGAACAACTGTGTCTGAATCTTGTCTGCCCACATACATATTCCATAGTGGTTGAATACACAGTATTAGGAAACACTTTATACTTACTGGACATGTTATACTCATTACATACTGTATATACAATATGACCAAGAATGTGAGACAACTTTATAGAAATTCATATCACATCTGTTACTGATGCCATTTGTCATACTTTGTTAAACTCACAAATAATAAAGTTCCATAACTTCAGTTGGGAACAAAGACCACACCTTATCTCCCCAAGGCAATTTCCCATCCAATAGGTGTGCTATAGGTGTGTATAACCCTTTCTCCTGTCTGTTACTCCCTCTTTCAGCACAAGAACCAGAGGGGGATTCAATGGAGCCTGAATACCTGCACTGAGACCCTCACCCTGCACCCTGAGTCTCAACTCTGTGTTTTTCAAGTCTTTCCCTGTTTTTTTGTATTAAACAAAACATTAAGCTTTCCCAATGGTGGGGTTTTCGTTTTGTGAAAAAGTGCAAATGCAGTGTTTGTATATAATTACATCACATATGTTTTTGCTGTTGGTCGTGAAATTGCTCCTGCTTCCTCCGCTCTGTGTCAGTGGGGAAGCTGTACATTCGTACTCCTTTCTCTGAGCGATTGGAGCATCCCCAGGCAGCACAGCAAACCATGGTGGAGACTAGGAGGCAGCACAGCAAACCATGGTGGAGACTAGGAGGCAGCACAGCAAACCATGGTGGTGACTAGGAGGCAGCACAGCAAACCATGGTGGAGACTAGGAGGCAGCACAGCAAACCATGGTGGAGACTAGGAGGCAGCACAGCACACCATGGTGGAGACTAGGAGGCTGCACAGCAAACCATGGTGGTGACTAGGAGGCAGCACAGCAAACCATGGTGGAGACTAGGAGGCAGCACAGCAAACCATGGTGGCGACTAGGAGGCAGCACAGCAAACCATGGTGGTGACTAGGAGGCAGCACAGCACACCATGGTGGAGACTAGGAGGCTGCACAGCAAACCATGGTGGATAGAGGCTGCACAGCAACCAGGGGTGGAGACTAGGAGGCTGCACAGCAAACCATGGTGGAAGACTAGGAGGCTTGCACAGCAAACCATGGTGGATGACTATGGAAGGTACAGCAGCAGCAAACCATGGTGGAGGAGACTAGGAGGCAGCCGCAGCAAACCATGGTGCAGACTAGGAGGGCAGCACAGCAACCATGGGGTGACTAGGAGGCAACCCATGGTGGAGGACTAGGAGGGCAGCACAGCAAACCATGGTGGAGAGCTAGGAGGCAGCACAGCAAACCATGGTTGGGACTAGGGGCAGCACAGCAACACCATGGTGGAGACTAGGAGGGCAGCGCAAGCAAACCATGGTGGAGACTAGGAGACAGCGCAGCAAACCCATGGTTGGAGACTAGGAGGCAGCACAGCCAAACCATGGTGTAGACTAGGGCAGGCAGACACAGCACACCATGGTGGAGACTAGGAGGCAAGGCACAGCAAACCATGTTGGAGGACTAGGATTTGGCAGCACAGCAAACCTATGGTTGAGACTAGGAGGCAGCACAGTCACACCACATGGTGGAGACCCCCCCACCGGAGGCAGCACAGCAAACCCATGGTGCGAGACCTAGGAGGCACAGCACAGCACAACCATGGTGGAGGACTTAGGAGGCAGCACAGCAAACCATGGTGGAGACTAGGAGGCAGGCCACAGCACACCATGGTGGAGACTTAGGAGGCAGCACAGCAAACCATGGTGGAGACTAGGAGGCAGCACAGCCACACCATGGTGGAGACTAGGAGGCAGCACAGCAAACCATGGTGGAGACTAGGAGGCAGCACAGCAAACCATGGTGGAGACTAGGAGGCCAGCACAGCAACCATGGTGGAGAACTAGGAGGCAGCACAGCACACCATGGTGGAGACTAGGAGGCAGCACAGCAAACCATGGTGGAGACTAGGAGGCAGCGCAGCAAACCATGGTGGAGACTAGGAGGCAGCACAGCAAACCATGGTGGAGACTAGGAGGCAGCACAGCAAACCATGGTGGAGACTAGGAGGCAAGCACAGCAACCATGGTGGAGACTAGGAGGCAGCACAGCAAACCATGGTGGAGACTAGGAGGCAGCACAGCCAAACCATGGTGGAGACTAGGAGGCAGCACAGCACACCATGGTGGAGACTAGGAGGCAGCAACAGCAAACCATGGTGGAGACTAGGAGGCAGCACAGCACACCATGGTGGAGACTAGGAGGCAGCACAGCACACATGGTGGAGACTAGGAGGCAGCACAGCAAAACATGGTGGAGACTAGGAGGCAGCACAGCAAACCATGTGGAGACTAGGAGCAGCACAGCAACCATGGTGGACGACTAGGAGGCAGCACAGCACACCATGGTGGAGACTAGGAGGCAGCACAGCAAACCATGGTGGAAACTAGGAGGCAGCGCAGCAAACCATGGTGGAGACTAGGAGGCCAGCACAGCAAACCATGGTGGAGACTAGGAGCAGCACAGCACAACCATGGTGGAGACTAGGAGGCAGCGCAGCAAACCATGGTGGTGACTAGGAGGCAGCACAGCAAACCATGGTGGAGACTAGGAGGCAGCGCAGCAAACCATGGTGGAGACTAGGAGGCAGCACAGCAAACCATGGTGGTGACTAGGAGGCAGCACAGCAAACCATGGTGGTGACTAGGAGGCAGCACAGCACACCATGGTGGAGACTAGGAGGCAGCACAGCACACCATGGTGGCGACTAGGAGGCAGCACAGCAAACCATGGTGAGACTAGGAGGCAGCACAGCAAACCATGGTGGATGACTAGGAGGCAGCACAGCAACCATGGTGGAGGACTAGGAGGCAGCAGCAGCAAACCATGGTGGATGAATAGGAGGCAGCACAGCAAAACCATGGTGGAGACTAGAGGCAGCACAGCACACCATGGTGGAGACTAGGAGGCAGCACAGCCCCAACCATGGTGGTGACTAGGAGGCAGCACAGCAAACCATGGTGGAGACTAGGAGGCAGCACAGCAAACCATGGTGGAGACTAGGAGGCAGCACAGCAAACCATGGTGGAGACTAGGAGGCAGCACAGCAAACCATGGTGGAGACTAGGAGGCAGCACAGCAAACCATGGT